TAGCACACAACCACCACCACTACTACTACTACTGCTACTACTAGCACCACTACCACCACCACTACTACTACTACTGCTACTACTAGCACCACTACCACCACCCACTACTACTACTACTACTACTACCACCACCACCAATGCTACCACTAATTTACTTAAATTCTTTTGCAACGTTGGACTATTTTGGGGGATAATGTCAAGAAAATATTAAGAAAATCCAAGGAAATGCTAAGAAAATACCAAGAAAATTCTCAGAAAATACCAAGGAAATTCTCAGAAAATACCAAGAAAATTCTCAGAAAATACCAAGGAAATTCTCAGAAAATTCCAAGAAAATTCTCAGAAAATACCAAGAAAATTCTCAGAAAATACCAAGAAAATTCTCAGAAAATACCAAGGAAATTCTCAGAAAATACCAAGAAAATCCTCAGAAAATACCAAGAAAATTCTCAGAAAATACCAAGGAAATTCTCAGAAAATACCAAGGAAATTCTCAGAAAATACCAAGGAAATTCTCAGAAAATGCAAGAAAATTCTTAGAAAATACCAAGAAAATTCTCAGAAAATACCAAGGAAATTCTCAGAAAATACCAAGGAAATTCTCAGAAAATACCAAAAAATTATCAGAAAATACCAAGAAAATTCTCAGAAAATACCAAGAAAATTCTCAGAAAATACCAAGAAAATTCTCAGAAAATTCTCAGAAAATACCAAGGAAATTCTCAGAAAATATCAATAAAATTCTCAGAAAGTACCAAGAAAATTCTCAGGAAATACCAAGGAAATTCTCAGAAAATACCAAACAAATTCTCAGAAAATACCAAGAAAATTCTCAGAAAATACCAAGAAAATTCTCAGAAAATACCAAAAACAGAAAATACTTCTCAGAAAATACCAAAAAAATTTTTCTAAATACCAAGGAAATTCTCAGAAAATACCAAGGAAAATTCTCAGAAATACCAAGAAAATTCTCAGAACCAAGGAAATTCTCAGAAAATACCAAGAAAATTCTCAGAAAATACCAAGGAAATTCTCAGAAAATACCAAGAAAATTCTCAGAAAATACCAAGGAAATTCTCAGAAAATACCAAGAAAATTCTCAGGAAATACCAAGGAAATTCTCAGAAAATACCAAGGAAATTCTCAGAAAATACCAAGAAAATTCTCAGAAAGTACCAAGGAAATTCTCAGAAAATACCAAGGAAATTCTCAGAAAATACCAAGAAAATTCTCAGAAAATACCAAGGAAATTCTCAGAAAATACCAAGAAAATTCTCAGAAAATACCAAGGAAATTCTCAGAAAATACCAAGAAAATTCTCAGGAAATACCAAGGAAATTCTCAGAAAATACCAAGGAAATTCTCAGAAAATACCAAGAAAATTCTCAGAAAGTACCAAGGAAATTCTCAGAAAATACCAAGGAAATTCTCAGAAAATACCAAGAAAATTCTCAGAAAGTACCAAGGAAATTCTCAGAAAATACCAAGGAAATTCTCAGAAATACCAAGGAAATTCTCAGAAAATACCAAGGAAATTCTCAGAAAATACCAAGGAAATTCTCAGAAAATGCCAAGGAAATTCTCAGAAAATACCATGGAAATTCTCAGAAAATACCAAGAAAATTCTCAGGAAATACCAAGGAAATTCTCAGAAAATACCAAGGAAATTCTCAGAAAATGTTTGATAGGAAGTTATCTAGAGGTAAACTGATTACTGTTCTAAAATCTGTGTGGGTGAAACGTCGACAAATAAAGATACCCAGATGTTTCACACGTGTCTAAGTCTTCCTTTGCGTACCTTTAATATGGAAGCGTTTCGCCCGCCAATGGCGTCTTCAGTCCAATGCAGAGAATGATGGAAGATGAGGAAGAGGTTGAGATAATCAGTCCCTCAGTCCTGAACACATCGACTCCTCAACATCTTCCACCTTTCTCTGTATTGGACTGAAGAAACCACTGGCGGGCGAAACGTTTCCAGAATAAAGATATCCAAACGTTTCACAAGTTGTCTGTATTTTTAAGCATCTATGTCGGTTCTTGTATACGATGTGGCGATGTTTCGCTTCCAGCACACCCTCTCCTATATGTTTATAGATGCTAAGAAGATTAGGAACCGGTTGGCGACTTGAGCGACGTTGAAGTCGTGTCATCTGAGGACGGGTATGTTTCGCTTTAACTATGGTAGACACCATCTAGCAGTGTTGGTGTGAGATGATGAGAGTGTTTCTTCTGTTTCGGGTCACACTGCCTGTGGAAAAGGACGTTCTTATGAATAAGTATACACCATTGACAGGTTCATAAATAAGAGCAGTGCACAGCCCTGCAGGTTGGCATTGTGTAGGATGCCTCTTCCCTGAGTGTTGACAATATACTTCCTACACTCATCATCATTCACATCACAGTTTGAGAGGTAAGGAAGCAGTGTCTTCGTTCCGGGTAATGTTGTGAGAGATAAGGTACGATAAGATTTCGTTCGATTATTAACCCCGGAGGTTAGCACCAGCGATATACAAAAAGTCAGTGCGTCATCGAGGACTGCTAACTTATTTCATGGGGTCACTAACTCCTTTCCCCCAGGATGGACCCAATACATCGACTAACACCAGTACATATTTCATACGTGAGAGTGAACGGACACAGTGTCGTAAGGAAAGTGTCGGTAATTTACGCCGGGAATCGAACCCGGGCCCTCCGTGTGTGAAGCGGGAGCTTTAGCTACCAGTAGTAGTAGTAATAGTAGTAGTAGTAGTAGTAGTAGTAGTATATAAAAAATAGGAACACTACAGGAGACCTACCATTCATTTAAACACTTCAGTGATATCTCTCACTCTATCTCTGGGTCTGGCTACATGCGGGAGATTCCTTATACACTGGATTAATTCTGTCATCCTTCCATGTTCTCCAATGAATTTATATCCATTCTGTAGTAAGGAGACCAAAACTGAGCAGCATAATCTAAGTGGGGCCTCACTAGTGGAGAGGGTTTCTGTGGTCAGCGCCCCCGCGGTTCGGTCTAAGACCAGGTGATGTATAGAGCAATCAAATAACTTTTGAACTTCTGGTACTTATACTTCTTGACATAAATCCAAGTAATGTGATGAATGGTTTTGAAAACCGACGAGATGAAGATTACCTCAAGTTGACTGATTACCTCAAACTCCTCCTCTCCTTATACCTTTCTGCTTTGTATTGGACTGATGAAGCCACTGTGTGGCGAAACGTTTCCTCAATAAAGATTCCCATATGTTGCATAAGTGTCTCAATCTTCATCCAAGTAATCTATTAGCATTATTGCACACACTTACACACTGTTACGCAGATGACTGGTACAGAAAACCGACAAGTTGATAAATTAGATACATGTACAGCACTTGGGAATCTTTACTGCAGACGTTTCGCCCTCCAATGGCTTTATCAATACAAATTCAAGGACATGAATGGAAGACAGAAGAACTATATACAAAAGATGAGGTAATCAGTCACTCAGTCTGGAATCGATGTGTTCAGTCCATTAAATTCTTGAGTAGCATTGGGTAGTGGTGGTTTAGATAAGGACCTGATATGTTTGGGCCACAAGGCCTTCTGCAGTGTTCCTCCAGTCTTATGTTCGTATATGGTCGGAGAAGTGGCTTATATACTGTTGGGTAAAAGGACACAAGTGCAACTAATGTGACATTTTATTGTGGCAACGTTTCGCTCTCCAGGAGCTTTGTCAGGCTGTTACAAACAATACATGGACACAGAGGGTATATATAGGCTTGTATACTGTAGTCAGGTGAGTGGAAGCAGGAGGAGGTGGAATCACAGGGCCAGTAGGCCTTCTGCGGTGCTTCTCCATTCTTATGATCTTATGTAAGGTCATTAAAGTAAATTATGGATAACAATGGGCCACTTGTGACCGGTCCCCATTCAGACTTGACCAGATTAATGCAAACTCCAATTTGGACATGTGTCTTACTTATCAATATCTGTTTAGATCTGCTTGACAATGTTTGGTGTTTGGTAAACACCTGTTCATAGCATCTGCTGTTTGTATTGTATCACGAGTGTCGAATACGAAATTCTCACCATTAAATTGTGCACCAATCCGATATCACCGAGAGAACAATACTCCGCTTCTTTCTGAGTACCGCCTGGATCACCCCGGGTCACCCTGGGTCACCCTGGGTCACCCCGGGTCACCCTGGGTCACCCTGGGTAACCCTACGTTCCTCCTAACTCGTCATCATCACAGGCGATATCAGGACCAGGTGTAGTAGCAGTGAGGCATTGTGTGGCCAGCTATAGCACAGGTCAGACGTGTCTTCTGTCTGCACCAGCATCCAGCCCATATCACAGACCAGACCTGTGTTTCCTGCTTCCAACACCCAGAACCAGATTTGTGGGTTTCATGTAAGTTATTCCAGATTTGTTATTGTAACTATTCTTTTTTCTCTCAGCAGTTATTAAGTTTTCCTCTTATACTCGCATGTTAATAACTTAAGGGAGTCGTTCAGCTCTGTCCTACTGCATCAGGAATTAGACTTACGTAAACTTTCTGGGTATTTGGAATTCAATGTAGAGTTGAAGATTGAGACACTTATGCAGCATATGGGAATCTTTATTCAGGAAACGTTTCGCCACATAGTGGCTTCGTCAGTCCAATACAAAGAGGAAGGCGTAAGGAGAGGAGGAGTATGAGGTAATCAGTCCCTCAACCTCTCCTTACGCCTTCCTCTTTGTATTGGACTGATGAAGCCACTGTGTGGCGAAACGTTTCCTGAATAAAGATTCCCATATGCTGCATAAGTGTCTCAATCTTCAACTTGTCGGTTTTTCAAACCATTCATCACAATGTAGATAATACTGTTGGTTTAGAAAGACACGTAAGCATAGTGTCATAGTGTTTGCTTACGTGTCTTTCTAAACCAACTTGTCGGTATTTATTACCAAGGTTTATACCATGATGATACTGTGTTCAGTACCCTAGTTGTGCATGAATAGTACACAGTACAGATAAGATGGAGAATCAGATACAAGTGCGGCATCTGGGTATCTTATTTGTAGAGGTTTCATCTTCCAGTGGCTTTATCAATACAAGGACATAATATGAAGAATAAAGAACTGAGGTAATCAGTCCCTCAGCCCTGGAATTGGTGGAGAACACCTTAGTCCTGAAAAATCTGAAGCACAGGCAGTGAGATCACTGATTGATTCTTCAAGACTACGGTGCTCTTCAACTCCAAGACTCAGGGACTGATTACCTCATCTTTTGTATATAGTTCTACTGTCTTCACTTTATGTGCTTGTAGTGTACTGATAAAGCCACTGGTGGGCGAAACGTCTACAGTTAAAGATACCCAGATGTCGCATATTATATACCATTCATATATAATTTATGAGTAGCTTAGTTGATAAATTAGACACATGTGCAACTCTTGGGTATCTTTATTGAGGAAACGTTTCGCCACACAGTAGGCTTCTTCAGTCGAGTACAGAAAAGTTGATAGAAGCAGAAGATACTTGAAGACGATGTAATCAGTCCATCACCCTTAAAGTTTTGAGGTGGTCAGTCCCTCAGTCTGGAGAAGAGCATTGTTCCGTTGTCTGAAACAATATCAAGAGGGACCTGCCCTCCCAAAGCAACCTACGTCTCACCTCCTGGCACTATTTAAGGCTCCATCCTGTCACTTCAACTTCATATTGTTTCAGACAACGGAACAATGCTCTTCTCCAGACTGAGGGACTGACCACCTCAAAACTTTAAGGGTGATGGACTGATTACATCGTCTTCAAGTATCTTCTGCTTCTATCAACTTTTCTGTACTCGACTGAAGAAGCCTACTGTGTAGGCGAAACGTTTCGAAATAAAGATACCTAACTGTTGCATATGTGTCTTACATAACCCCCAAGTCCTTTTCGCAATCTGTATGGCTAAGTTCTACATCATTTAACCTATAAGTACTAGGGTTATGGGCACTCCCAAGCTTCAGAACCTTGCATTTATCTACATTGAACTGCATCTGCCACTTTTCTGACCAAGAATAGAGTTTAAGTCCTCCTGAAGTTCCATAACATCTACGTTTGAATCAATTATCCTACCTGTCGAAGATTGAGGCACTTATGCAGCATATGGGAATCATTATTCAGGAAACGTTTCGCCACACAGTGGCTTCATCAGTCCAATACAAAGAGGAAGGCGTAAGGAGAGGAGTATGAGGTAATCAGTCCCTCAGCCTGGAGTCGATGTGTTCAGTCCATCAATCTTGTAGAATGGACTGAACACATCGACTCCAGGCTGAGGGACTGATTACCTCATACTCCTCCTCTCCTTACGCCTTCCTCTTTGTGTTGTTAGGTAAGACACATATGCAACAGTTAGACAACTTTATTCCGAAAACGTTTCGCCTAACAGTAGGCTGTCTTCAGTCGAATACAGAAAGTAGGCAGGAACAGTAGAGATTTGAAGACGATGTAATCAGTCCAATCACCCTTAAAGTCGTAGAATTTGGGTTGTCAGTCCCTCGGCCTGGAGAAGTTCAGTTCCTAGTCAGGAACTATCTGAAGATCAAGCGACAGTGCGGAGACTTAAATACTGTCGGAAGGAGAGGTGCAGGTTAGTAGTAGTAGTAGTAGTAGTAGTAGTAGTAGTGAGAGGCAACTGAGAGGTCATGTCCCTCTCAGAAACCAACCCTTCTCACTTGAAAAGCTTGTCCAAGGTGTTTTCTGTACCAAGATGCCACGTGTTGCAGTGTCTGACAAGATGAACATCAAAATGGTATACAATACCGACAGGTTGTTAGGTAAGACACATATGCAACAGTTAGACAACTTTATTCCGAAACGTTTTGCCTACACAGTAGGCTTCTTCAGTCGAAAACAGAAAGTAGGCAGGAACAGTAAAAGATTTGAAGACGATGTAATCCCGTCCATCACCCTTAAAGTCGTAGAATTTGAGGTTGTCAGTCCCTCGGCCTGGAGAAGTTCAGTTCCATAGTCAGGAACTAATTGAAGATCAAGCGACAGGCGGAGACTTAAATACTGTCGGAAGGAGAGGTGCAGGTTTAGTAGTAAATAGTAGTAGTAGTAGTAGTTAGTAGTGGGGGCAACTGAGAGGTCATGTCCCTCTCAGATCCAACCCTTCTCACTTGAAAAATTGTCCAAGGTGTTTCTGTAACCCAAAAGCCACGTTTTTGCAGTGTCTGCAAGTGACTCAAAATGGTATCAATTCCGACGGGGTTGTTAGTAAGCACATATGCAACGTTAGACAACTTTATTCGAAACGTTTGCCTACACAGTGCTTCTTCAGTCGAAACGTTTCGGAATAAAGTTGTTAAAATTTGCTATGGTCTTACTAACAACCTGTCGGTTTGGGATTCCATTTTGATGTTCATCTTGTCAGACCGCAACACGTGGCATCTTGGGAAGAAAACACCTTGGACAAGCTTTTTCAAGTGAGAGGGTTTGGGTCTGGAGGGACAGAACTTCGTTGCTCTCACATATACTATTCTACTAATCTATACTACTAACCTGCCCTCTCCCTTCCGACAGTTTTAAGTCTCCCACTGTCGCTTGATCTCAGATATTCCGACTATGGAACTGAACTTCTCCCGGCCGAGGGACTGACAACCTCAAATTCTACGACTTTAAGGTGATGACTGATTACATCTCTTCAAATCTCTACTGTTCTCCTACTTTCTGTATTCGAGAGAAAGGGCCCACTGTGAGGCGAAACGTTTCGGAATAAAGTTGTTTTAACGTTGCATATGTGTCTTACCTAACAACCTGTCGGTATTGTATACCATTTTGATGTTTTATCTTGTCGACACTGCAACACGTGGCATCTTGGTACAGAAAACACTTGGACAAGCTTTTCAAGTGAGAAGGGTTTGGGTCTGAGAGGGACATGACCTCTCAGTTGCCTCTCCAAATACTACAAATACTACTACTACTACTACTAACCTGCACCTCTCCTTCCGACAGTATTTAAGTCTCCGCACTGTCGCTTGATCTTCAGATAGTTCCTGACTATGGAACTGAACTTCTCCAGGCCGAGGGACTGACAACCTCAAATTCTACGACTTTAAGGGTGATGGACTGATTACATCGTCTTCAAATCTCTACTGTTCCTGCCTACTTTCTGTATTCGACTGAAGAAGCCTACTGTGTAGGCGAAACGTTTCGGAATAAAGTTGTCTAACTGTTGCATATGTGTCTTACCTAACAACCTGTCGGTATTGTATACCATTTTGATGTTCTTCCTCTTTGTATTGGACTGATGAAGCCACTGTGTGGCGAAACGTTTCCTGAATAAAGATTCCCATATGCTGCATAAGTGCCTCAATCTTCAACTTGTCGGTTTTTCAAACCATTCATCACATATCCTACCTATCTTTGTGTCATCGGCGAATTTGCTCATATCACTAGTAATTCCCTCATCAAGATCATTGATATATATTATAAACAACAACGGGCCCAAGACTGATCCCTGTGGAACGCCACTTGTTACAGATCCCCACTCGGATTTAACCCCATTTATGGACACTCTCTGCTTCCTGTCTGTGAGGCATGACTCGATCCACGAGAGCACTTTTCCCCCAATGCCATGAGCTGCCACTTTCTTTAACAGTCTATGGTGCGGAACTCTATCAAAAGCCTTACTAAAATCTAAGTAAATAATATCAAATTCTTTATCGTGGTCAACAGCCTCAAAAGCTTTACTGAAGAAAGTTAATAAATTAGTTAGACAAGACCGGCCTCTTGTGAATCCATGCTGAGTATCATTAATCAAGCTATGCTTATCGAGATGGCTTCTTATAATCTCAGCTATAATTGGCTCTAGTAATTTGCCTACAATTGAGGTCAGGCTTATTGGGCGATAATTTGACGGTAACGACTTGTCCCCTGTTTTAAAAATAGGAATTACATTAGCCATCTTCCACATATCAGACACTACACCTGTTTGAAGAGATAAATTAAAAATATTAGTTAATGGTTCACAGAGTTCCATTTTGCATTCCTTAAGAACCCTTGAAAAAACCTCATCAGGACCCGGCGACTTATTTTGCTTCAGTCTGTCTATCTGCTTCACAACCATCTCACTAGTGACTGTGATGTTACATAATTTATCTTCTTCTAGCCCACTGTAAAAATTAATTACTGGAATATTGTTAGTGTCTTCCTGTGTAAAAACTGAGAGAAAATAATTATTAAAAATCGAGCACATTTCATTCTCTTTGTCAGTAAGGTGCCCATAGTTATTTTTAAGGGACCTATCTTATCTCTAACTTTTGTTCTATAGACCTGGAAAAAACTTTTTGGGTTATGTTTTAGAATCCCTAGCAACTTTAATTTCATAGTCCCTTTTAGCTTTTCTTATCCCCTTTTTAATGTCCCTCTTAATGTCAATATACTGATTCATAAGATGACCCTCACCTCTTTTGATACGCCTATAAATTCCTTTCTTATGCCCTAGTAGATATTTGAGCCTATTATTCATCCATTTTGGGTCATTTCTATTTGATCTAATTTCTTTATATGGGATAAACGTTCTTTGAGCAGCATGTATAGTGTTCAGAAAACTGTCATATTGATAGCTCTCTTCGTTACCCCAGTCAACAGATGATAAGTGTTCTCTAAGCCCATCTTAATCTGCTAAGCGAAAATCTGGGACTGTTACTGAGTTATCGCTACTATCGTACTTCCATTCAATGCTAAATGTAATTGATTTGCTGCCTCTGTATTTGAGTGAAGAAGCCTACTGTGTAGGCGATACGTTTCATCACTAAAAATGCCCAGCAGTTGCACATGTGTCTTAATGTTCAACATGTCGCTATTTTATACCACTTTCAACAACTGCAACTGCTAATTTCTCAGACCACAACATCAACGTGTTAACTTCCTGTAACTCTCTTGTTTCTACGCGTGTATATATACTTGGTGTTGCACTTGGTATATCCACCAGAGATTTTAGGCAGTTTTTTTTTAGTTTCAGAGATGATAGAAGGAAAGTAGAGTGACTTGGATGAGGAGGAATTAGTAAGTAGCTTCACGTGAAGGTACGGTAACTTTACAAACATGTGCCATAACTTCAAGTGCATGTACCGTAACTTCACGTACAGGCTCCGTAGCATCACGTACAGGTACGGTAGAGCGCCCAGGTGGCCAGCAGTCGCCTACTCGACCCCCTCAACACAAAACTGGTGATGTATTATTACGAATATATTTATCATTATTATTTTCTTGCCATCATTATCTCTTTCATTATTATCATTATTTCTCCCCTTTATATAATATAATATATATATATATATATATATATATATAATATATATATATATATATATATATATATATATATATAATATATATATATAATTTGGATGGACATTTGAACTCTTTCGAAAATATTTATTAATGTAATTTGTATATTTATATAATTCATATTTACAGTGGTAACTTGGTAAGTGGTACAATGGTACACAGGTAATGTGGTAAGATGGTACAGTGGTACACAGGTAAGATGATACAGTCTTACATTGATAATGTGGTACACTGGTAATGTACAGTGGTACACAGATAAGATGGTGCACTGGTACACAGGTAAGATAACACAATGGTACACTGGTAAGAGGGTACAGTGGTACACTGGAAATCTAAGATGGTACAGTGGTACAATAACAGATATTAGTGGTACAATACATAATTCTTGTAGTTAATTGGTCATTCTTCTTTTCATTCCAGTTGCTCCATGGGGCTACGAAGGTTCAACAGGTAAGTCTGTCTGTCTGTCTGTCTCTCTCTCTCTCTCTCTCTCTCTCTCTCTCTCTCTCCTCTCTCTCTCTCTCTCTCTCTCTCTCTCTCTCTCTCTCTCTCTCTCTATTGGTGCATAAATATTTACGCATTATTATTATTATTAATTAATATTCCTCACATTTCCTCCACAAACTGTGTGGTTTTAGCGCTTCTGGTCATAATAATAATAATAATAATAATAATAATAATAATAATAATAACTAGCGTCAGGGTAAACTAGAGTAAATTTCTCTCATTTTTTTCTGAGTAGGTCCTGCCTACTGGGCCCTGACGTACCCACAATGTGGTGGCAGTAGACAGTCACCCATCAACATCGTCACCTCCCAGGTGGTGGGCAACTACGCCTGGTTGCCACTCGGGTTTATAAACTACGAGATGGTTCCTTCCTCCATGACTATCAGAAACACTGGTCACACAGGTGAGGACTGAAGACATGTGTAGGGGAGTGGAGGTGTTGGGGGGAGGTGGTGATGGATGGTGGGGGTCTCGGTGGAGGTGGTGATGGATGGTGGGGGTCTCGGTGGAGGTGGTGATGGATGGTGGAGGTCTCGGTGGAGGTGGTGATGGATGGTGGAGGTGGTGATGGATGATGGAGGTCTCGGAGGAGGTGCTGGTAGACTGGAGGTCTTTGGTTAGTTCCCGGTAGAAACCGGTAGGGTCTTCGGAAAAGAGCTGGTAGACCTAGACTAACTAACCCAAGCCTACACGACCTAACAGTCCCAGATCTATTAGGTTCAAAACCTAGTTACGCTAGTTTAGCTCCACTGATCACTGCCAGACTGGCTAATTATCTTGACAGCCATAATTACTATTTTTGTTACGAGTGATTGTACAACAGCATTATATACGATCAAATCTACATTGACAGATTATCTACCCTAGTTATGGTATGTTATCGTGATACAAAATATTAATGTCCACGATAGTGAGAATGATGTGTATCGTGTAGGAGGACAGGACAAGTGCAACTAATGGGACAGTTTATTGTGGCAACGTTTCGCTCTCCATGAGCGATGTTTATCGAATATTTCTAACATTTTGAGTGTTCCACATCAGAGGCTACTGAGGACACTTAAGGCACACGGAATAGGAGGAGAGTTTGCATAAATGGGGGGAGAAATCAGAATGGGGGCACGTCACAAGCGGTGTTCCGCAGGGGTCAGTTTTGGGCCTGTTATTGTTCTAGTCTACGTAAACGACATAGATGAGGGAATAAATAGCGACATAAGCAAATTTGCTGATGACACCAAAATAGGCCGTCCAATTCATTCTAATGAGGACACTCGAGTACTCCTGGATGATTTGAAAAAGCAGTGGTCGGAGAAGTGGCAGATGCAGTTTAATACAGACGGAGGCAAAGTTCTAAATGTTAGACAGGAAAATAACCATGCCACATATAAACTAAATAATGTAGATCTTAATACTACTGATTGCGAAAAAGATTTAGGAGTTCTGGTTAGCAGTAACCTAAAACCAAGACAACAGTGCATTAGTGTTCGCAATAAAGCTAACAGAATCCTTGGCTTCATATCTAGAAGTATAAATAATAGAAGTCCTCAGGTTGTTCTTGAACACTATATATCCTTGGTTAGGCCTCATTTAGATTATGCTACACAGTTCTGGTCACCGTATTACAGAATGGATATAAATGCACTGGAAAACGTATAGACGAGGATGACAAAGATGATCCCATGTATCAGAAATCTTCCCTATGAGGATAGACTGAGGGCCCTGAATCTGCACTCTCTCGAAAGGCGTAGAATTCAAATTCAAAGTTTATTCTCTATAAGGATTACAATGCTGAGTTTACAGAATTTGGTTATTGTGTGGTTTACATGTAGTAAAATAATGATTACAGAGTGTACCACTAGAACACCTAGCATGGCTAGGCATTTCGGGCAGACTTAGTTTAATTCTTAATTTTAAAATATTACAAATTATGAGGTAAGTTGGTATTATGGCTAAGTGACTAAATACTATGTTGTGAGTTTAGCAATGTGAATGCTTTTGTTTTGGCACAGTACATAGTTTCAGTATTGGAGTTTCACAGGATTCATTATTTTAAGATTGAGATTAATATTTCTGTTTATGGTCAAATGGGTGAGCGAGTGTAAGTGTGAACCACCAGGTGGCATTCGTGTAGTTAGTTGACGGGGTGTATCAGGGAGATAAGATGTTTTCTAATGGTAGTTTTGAAGGCGATGAATGTGTCTGCAGTTCTAGAGTTCTCAGAATGTCGTAGAGATGTTTGTGTCTGGTGTTATGCCTGTGGGTTCTGTCACAACTATCAAGAAAGCGTTTTAGGTCAAGGTTGATATTGGAGTTTAAGGTCCTGTAGATGTAGATTGCACAGTAGTAAGTGTGGATGTACTGAACAGGGAGTAAGTTTAGGTCTATAAAGAGTGGGGGGGTTTGTTGTCAGGGATGGGATTTAGTGATTATTCTTACTGCAGCTTTTTGTTGGGTTATTATTGGCTTTAGGTGTGTTGCTGCAGTTGATCCCCAAGCACAAATAGCATAGGTGAGGTATGGATAAATAAGTGAGTGGTATAGTGTGAGAAGGGCATTTTGCGGCACGTAGTATCGTATCTTCGAGAGGATCCCAACCGTTTTGGATACTTTTTTGGTTATGTGTTGGATATGGGTGCTGAAATTCAGGTTGTTGTCAAGGTATAGGCCTAGGAATTTGCCCTCATTATGTCTGGTAATTAGAGTGTTCTCGATCTTAATGTTAATTTGTGCATCTCCTGCTCTACTCTAAGAAAAAGGAGGAGTAGATGTAAAATAGAAAGAGACAGGCGCTCCCTTTACAAGCGACGGAGAAGAATAACAGAGCGGCTAAAAGAGGTCAATATATCTGAAATGCGTAAGGAGACACTGGTCAGAGAAATAGCAAGCATCGAACTCAAGCTAAAGGAATCTTATAGGAGTCAGGAATCGCGGGAAGAACTAAAAGCCATAAATGAAATCGAAAGAAACCCAAAGTATTTCTTCTCCTATGCCAAATCAAAGTCGAGAACAACATCCAGTATTGGGCCCCTACTTAAACAAGATGGGTCCTACACAGATGACAGCAAGGAAATGAGTGAGCTACTCAAGTCCCAATATGACTCAGTTTTTAGCAAGCCGCTAACCAGACTGAGAGTCGAAGATCAAAACGAATTTTTATGAGAGCCACAAAATTTGGTTAACACAAGCCTATCCGATGTTATCCTGACGCCAAATGACTTTGAACAGGCGATAAATGACATGCCCATGCACTCTGCCCCAGGGCCAGACTCATGGAACTCCGTGTTCATCAAGAACTGCAAGAAGCCCCTATCACGAGCCTTTTCCATCCTATGGAGAGGGAGCATGGACACGGGGGTCGTCCCACAGTTACTAAAAACAACAGACATAGCCCCACTCCACAAAGGGGGCAGTAAAGCAACAGCAAAGAACTACAGACCGATAGCACTAACATCCCATATCATAAAAATCTTTGAAAGGGTCCTAAGAAGCAAGATCACCACCCATCTAGAAACCCATCAGTTACACAACCCAGGGCAACATGGGTCTAGAACAGGTCGCTCCTGTCTGTCTCAACTATTGGATCACTACGACAAGGTCCTAAATGCACTAGAAGATAAAAAGAATGCAGATGTAATATATACAGACTTTGCAAAAGCCTTCGACAAGTGTGACCATGGCGTAATAGCGCACAGAATGCGTGCTAAAGGGATAACAGGAAAAGTCGGTGGATGGATCTATAATTTCCTCACTAATGGAACACAGAGTAGTCGTCAACAGAGTAAAGTCCGAGGCAGCTACGGTGAAAAGCTCTGTTCCACAAGGCACAGTACTCGCTCCCATCTTGTTCCTCATCCTCATATCCGACATAGACAAGGATGTCAGCCACAGCACCGTGTCTTCCTTTGCAGATGACACCCGAATCTGCATGACAGTGTCTTCCATTGCAGACACTGCAAGGCTCCAGGCGGACATCAACCGAATCTTTCAGTGGGCTGCAGAAAACAATATGAAGTTCAACGATGAGAAATTTCAATTACTCAGATATGGTAAACACAAGGAAATTAAATCTTCATCAGAGTACAAAACAAATTCTGGCCACAAAATAGAGTGAAACACCAACGTCAAAGACCTGGGAGTGATCATGTCGGAGGATCTCACCTTCAAGGACCATAACATTGTATCAATCGCATCTGTTAGAAAAATGACAGGATGGATAATGAGAACCTTCAAAACTAGGGAGGCCAAGCCCATGATGACACTCTTCAGGTCACTTGTTCTATCTAGGCTGGAATATTGCTGCATACTAACAGCACCTTTCAAGGCAGGTGAAATTGCTGACCTAGAAAATGTACAGAGAACCTTCACGGCGCGCATAACAGAGATAAAACACCTCAATTACTGGGAGCACTTGAGGTTCCTGAACCTGTATTCCCTGGAATGCAGGCGGGAGAGTTACATGATTATATACACCTGGAAAATCCTAGAGGGACTAGTACCGAGCTTGCACACGAAAATCACTCACTACGAAAGCAAAAGACTTGGCAGACGATGCAACATCCCCCCAATGAAAAGCAGGGGTGTCACTAGCACGTTAAGAGACCATACAATAAGTGTCAGGGGCCCGAGACTGTTCAACTGCCTCCCAGCATACATAAGGGGGATTACCAACAGACCCCTGGCAGTCTTCAATCTGGCACTGGACAAGCACCTAAAGTCGGTTCCTGATCAGCCGGGCTGTGGCTCGTACGTTGGTTTGCGTGCAGCCAGCAGCAACAGCCTGGTTGATCAGGCTCTGATCCACCAGGAGGCCTGGTCACAGACCGGGCCGCGGGGGCGTTGACCCCCGGAACTCTCTCCAGGTAAACTCCAGGTACCAAACATAATATAGTAGGTTTTGTCAGTGTTAGGGGGGATATGATCGAGGTGGGTGTATAAATGGAAAACAGGAATAAATAAAGGGAATGTAAATAGCGTGCTGAAAATTTCCGGCCAAGACAGGACTCGCAGTAATGGTTTCAAGTTGGAAAAATTCAGATTCAGGAAGAATATAGGAAAGTACTGGTTTGGTAATAGAGTTGTGGATGAGTGGAACAAACTCCCGAGTACAGTTATTGAGGCTAAAACGTTGCGTAGTTTTAAAAATAGGTTAGATAAATACATGAGTGGGTGTGAGTTGGACCTGACTAGCTTGTGCTGCTGGGTCTGATGCCGTGTTCCTTCCTTAAGTGGAAGTGACCTGACTAGGTGGGTCATTAGGCTAATCCTGGGGGGAAAAGGAACATGGACCTGCTTCGCATGGGTCAGTAGGCCTGCTACAGTGTTCCTTCTCATGTTCTTATGTTCTTATTCACAGCCGAGGTCACGCTGCAGCAGACTCTAATGCCCACGCTGATGGGTGGGGACCTATTGGCCCCGTACACCTTCGCCCAGTTCCACTTTCATTGGGGCAGTCCGAGCACCTTGGGCAGTGAACACACCATAGATGGTAAAAAGTAAGTTTTGATACGACGTTAAGTCTTAATGTGGGCTGTTTTCCTGCCACACTCCATCACATAGGATGGCTTTCATACATAAGACAGTAAAATACACGAGTGCGTGTAAGACCTCCCTATCATGGGCCAGTAGGCCTGCTGCAGTGCTCATTCTGTTATTTCTACAAATAAAAATACAATTAATGCCCATTCTGTCATGTTCTTGTACACTTGTTTTCCTTTACACTGTAAAAAAATATTGTTTTTCGTTTTCCATGGTCAGATATGCGGCCGAGCTTCACGTTGTTCACTACAAGACTGCTTACGGTAACGTCAGCGCAGCTTCCAGCTACTCCGACGGTCTCACTGTTCTTGCCATGCTTATACAAATTGGAGAAGATGACAACCTCAGACTGCAGAGTGTCATTGATGGTCTCGCTACCATCCACGAGGCAGGTAAGGTGCTCATCTCCCTGTGAGAGTCTATCTGGTAGATGTTCAGGGGTTTAACTCCCCTGCGGTCCGGTCCATGATCAGGCCTCGTGGTGGATCAGGGTCTGATCTATGCGGATACACCCGTATCCATATAGATCATCTTCATCATAAGGAGTAATCCAGTGCGTGATGGAATCCATAGCAATTGTACATTAATTCCCTTTTCCCTGATTTTTGAGTGTCTATACGTGGCTTCTCCAGTATACCATAGACAGGGTCGTACCTTGACATGAACTGTGGCAGGATTACACCTCTTAGCTTGTAAAACTAACCTGTTTACAAACAAAGGACACTACACACACTTGTAACATTGTATAGAATTAAAATTATAATTACAGTAATAATTAATTTCTGTTTATTTAAAATAGATGGAATATAATACATATTTTTTAACCATCTTCATCGATATATTAATTAAGCCCTAAATTCAGGTTTCATTGCGGTTTTCATTGACTCGAAATTCGAGTCTTAGTACTCAATTGATTCTGTTGATTTCGAGTTCAGTACTAACTGCGGTCTCTGCTGACTTCGAGTCCGGTGCCTAGTTCGATCTCATATAACTTCAGAACCTTCACGTTGACAGGAACGACGAACCACATCGTGCCCTTCCCTCTGAGAGAACTGTTACCTGAGAACGTTGAGAACTTCTACAGTTACCTGGGGTCCCTGACCATCCCGCCGTGCAGTGAGGCCGTGATCTGGACGATCTTCAAGGAACCCATCACCATGTCCATGAATCAGGTGAGGTTAACCTACCACCATCACCACTACTATTACTCCTTTTTCTTCCTCTCTTGGTCCCGTCCCCCTCGCCCATATATACTGGCTCCCTCCCTCTTTTTTGAAATCATAACCATGCTTTTTAAAGGGATGGAGCGGTAAACCAGCGGAAGGCCTCACTCAGATGACCAAAAGCTCCAGTGGCGGGTCATCATGACTAAGACTCTCATCAAGAAACACTTGTCCTGTTTCCCTGTAAATCTTACCTAACCTAACTTTTGTGTTAGTGTAACTTGTAAATAGTCCGAATCGGACCGAAACGTCGTCGTAGGCTTCTCTATCCTGTTTGTGTCTTTTTCTCTACTATCTTAACATGTTAAAAATGTCATCTAGGCCAGTGTTAACATACATTTAACTCTCTTATAAAGTTCTTATGTATACGTATTGGGTTTCTTTGTTCGTGAATGCGACTTTGTTTAAGATTGAGACACTTATGCAGCATATAGGAATCTTGATTCAGGAAACGTTTCGCCATACAGTGGCTTCATCAGTCCAATACAAAGTAGAAAGGCGCAAGGAGAGGAGGAGTTGGAGGGACTGATTACCTCAAACTCCTCCTCTCCTTACGCCTTTCTACTTTGTATTGGACTGATGAAGCCACTGTGTGGCGAAACGTTTCCTGAATAAAGATTCCCATATGTTGCATAAGTGTCTCAATCTTCAACTTGTCGGTTTTTCAAACCATTCATCGCGACTTTGTTTAATCCAAAAGTGAATCTACAGATTATGGGATCCTTGTACCCCCCCCCCCCCCCAAAAAAAAAAAACGAATCCCACTGAAGAGAAGTGTATTGGTATTGTAGTTCATGCACTCAGTGGAAAGTTAGTTAAAGCAGTGTACCGGGTCGTTATGGACCATTGGTTGACTTAAGGCTGGTCCAGAACGGACCAAATCCTCGATCAAGGTCTCAGAAGTTGGATTAAGTAAATAAGTCTATTCAGGTACAGTGACTTATTTCCACTGGGGTCCTTGAAATTTTCACTGTAAATATCTAACGTCATGTTCACGACAGCCGCTTAGTAGCTGTAAATAATTTGCCTATATCAACGTAAACTGATGTCGGTTGACGGTATTATTAACAGTGTCGTAACTTGCAGATGTCCCAGTTCTTTAAACTTCTCACTGAGGAGAACACTCCTCTCGTGGACACCTTCAGGCCACTTCAACCCCTGGGAAACCGCACGGTGAGTGAGTGAGAGAGAATAACATGCTTAATACTCCTTCGTATTGGCTTACATTAAATTGGTTCGTTAATAGGTTATTATTGTTGTCATTATTACAATTATTATTATTATTATTATTATTATTATTATTATTATTATTATTATTATTATTATTATTATTATTATTACAGGTGTATGACGGTAGCATGACGCCTCTCTGGGGTTACGAAGGTTTGATTGGTAAGTATAACTATCTCCCGCTGCTTTTGTCTAAACAGTAGAGATCTTCCCGTTGATTCTGTTCAAACAAGAGAGGAGACATCTCCCGTTGATTCTTTGACTTCTGGTAACATTTCAGTCTCTATTTCCTTTTAGATTCCGCCAGTTTTAGTTTTTTACCGTTTTTTCCTTTGCTATCTTCTGTTTAGCTCCCTTACCGCCTGTTTATTTCCCCGTTTGATTTTAACACTGATAATTTTTCCCCTCATTCCGGTCATTTTTCCCTTGTTCGTGCATTTTACCCTATTTTCCACACATTTTTCCCCTGCCTTTTGTTTACCTTCATTCCTTAAGGTAAATAGTGTGACTTTAAATGATCATTTCGTTTTTCCCCCTTAACGTGTTTTCCCCCCTTAACGTGTTTTCCATGTGTCTCCCTCCAGGGCCCCAGTACTGGCCTAAGTATTTCCCCCTGTGTGGTGGCTCGGCACAGTCCCCTGTGAACATTGTCACTAAGACAGTACAGCCGGTCTACCAGCTGCCGTTCGTCTTTACGAACTTCGACGCCACACCTCTCACTGCCACCCTTGAGAACAACGGTCATGCAGGTGAGCGGCAGTACTACTACTACTACTACTACTACTACTACTACTACTACTACTATGACTAAGTTGGACCAGTGTTCCTCCTGTCTTTGTTACTAACACCACCACCACTACTACTGCTAACCTCGGTCTCTCTCCTACCCTGTTCCTCTCCTCCAATCTCCTTAATTTCCTCGTGAAGTCTCACCCTCAGCCTAACTACTCATAAACTATCACTGCTGTTAGAAGACGGAGGTTAGAGCCTCCAGTATTCCTAGTGTTCAATAAACCACAGATTTAGCCTCCCCCCACCATGACGCACTACGCACTCTCTAACACTCGCTAACCCACACTGGTTAGTAAATTATTTAGGCACAGATACACATAATTATAATTATACACTGTGTAAATTACCTAGTTTTGCGAGGTTTCCAAGAGTGGGCTGGTTGAAGATACATGTGCAACAGTTGAGCGATGTTCTTCCAGACTATGGAGATGAACTCTTCTCCAGGCTGAGGGACTGATTACATCATCTTTATTTCATTACTACTGCTCTCTTTGTATTCGACTGAAGAAGTCTACTGTGTAGGCGAAACGCTTCATCAATAAAGATACCCAACTGTTGCACATGTGTCTTAATCTTCAGCTTATCGGTATTTTATACAATATTCAACAATGCTCAGACTACATGACGACTACGACTACTGGTTGTCCTTACAGCTGACGTAAGTATAACTATGGCACCCGGAGTGGCAATTCCCTCGCTTTCTGGAGGAGGACTCACCGACCAGTACACCTTCGCCCAGTTGCACTTCCACTGGGGCAGGAACCAGGACGAGGGATCCGAACACACTATCAATGGTGGCAGGTGAGTGGTGCTAGTTTACAGTGTATTGTGGTTATAGTTTATAGTGAGTTTGTAGGTATCAGAGTTGTGGATGTGTGGAACAATGTACTGAGTTGGGTAGAAGAGGCCAAGACATTGAGTGGCTTTAAAAAGAGATTCGACAAATATATCAGTGTAAAGGTATGCGTTTTGCTAGTACCTGAGGAAGCAAATTCCTTGGTAGATTTGGGAAAGGGATGGACAGATGCGTGGGTGGTTTTGATAAGGACCTGCCTTGTGTGGGCCAGTAGGCCTGCTGCAGTATATCGCCTTTCTTATTTTTAGTGTATGAACCACTGTACGGGTGGGGTTAAAACCCATGGCGAGTGAGTCGTAAAACTCAAGGCCAGTGCGTAAACCACTGAACCAGCTGTCTACAATAAGATTTATCCAGCTAGGTATATTTATACATCATAGAGAGGTTAGCATGGGTCCCACTGTGGCTACAAATGTAAGTTTTTACAGATGAATCTCCCGCCAGCGTGGCCGTGACGATCTCTAGCTCATGTCCCCTCTACCGTCATCATGACTCACGAAATAAAAACATAGGAATGGAAAAATACTGCAGCAGGCCTACTGGCCCATACAAGGCAGGCTCTTATCAAAATCACCAGCATTTTTCTAAAGCTATCCAAAAATTTTCTCTTGTATCCCAGGCACCAATCAGACCCAGCTCCTCTCACTCATATGTAAAACTCGTAATAACACGAGTTTTACGACTCACTCACCATGGGTTCGAACCCCCACCCGTACCGTTTGCAATCTCGTTATTACGGTTTCGTGACTCAGTTACAGTGTATTGTTGTGGTAGCATAATTAGATATAGTGTATTGTGGTTGTGTGGCCACCTGCCTTTACCACCCAGCAGCAGCAACTAACTCGCCTGCCACTTCAACCTTCAGGTACCCAGGTGAACTTCACATAGTCACCTACAAGACCCAGTACTCCACCCTGACGCAGGCACTGAATTATAACGATGGCGTGGTGGTGTTGGGGATCTTCCTGAAGGCAGCTCCTGAAGATAACAATGTGCTCTCTCCCATCATCGCAGGTCTCCCTCGTGTTCTCAACGCAGGTAAGTACAGTTCTCATTTTGAACATTAAAATGGTATAAAATACCGACAGGTTCGCCTACTGTGTAGGCGAAACGTTTCGAAATAAAGATACCTAACTGTTGCATATGTGTCTTACCTAACAGTTCTCATTTTGAAGGATTAAAACACATAGGAACCTATAAAAGTAGGAGCACTGCAACAGGCCTACTGGCCCATACTAAGCAGGTTCTTCTAAAATCCAAACCCACAAACATTAGTACCGTTCCCACTGTGAAAGATTGTCAAGGATACCGATGGAAATAAGCCACTCAGACTTTTTTTTTTTTTGGGGGGGGGGGTATTCTAGGTAATTTACTCTATGTATGATAATTATTCTGATATGTACCTGTGTCTAAATAAACTTACTTAAGACACATGTGCAACATTTAAGTATTTTTATATTAACGCAGCTAGTTTCTTCGTTAGTTTCTTCGTTAGTTTCTTCGTTTCAGTACATATATGACATATGAGGTCAGCATTGAATACTAGCCTAAAGTAAAAGGACACAGGTGTAACTAATGTGACATTTTATTGTAGCAACGTTTCGCTCTCCAGGAGCTTTGTCAAGCCGTTACAAACAATACATGGACGCAGAGGGTATGGAAATATAAACACATATGCAGTAGAATGTGATCCTTTATTGACAACGTTTCGCCCACACAGTGGGCTTTTTCAAGTCACAAACAGATCTACCTGGGGTGGAAGGTACGCGAGTATTTATAGTCAGGTTCAGAATGCTGAGGTCAGGTGGAGAATGCTGCATCTGATGATGTACCGAGTGGGGTTAGAGTCTAAAATCTATATTGTTTCAGACTATGGAACAATACTCTTCTCCAGACTGAGGGACTGACCACCTCAAAACTTCAAGGGTGATGGACTGATTACATCGTCTTCAAGTCTCTTCTGCTTCTATCAACTTTTCTGTACTCGACTGAAGAAGCCTATTGTGTAGGCGAAACGTTTCGAAATAAAGATACCTAACTGTTGCATATGTGTCTTACCTAACAACATTCTCCACCTGACTCCATCCTATAAATACGCACCTTTTACCCAGGCAGATCTGTTTGTGACTCGATAAAGCCAACTGAGTGGGCGAAACATTGTCAATAAAGAATCACATTATACTGTTCAAGTGTTTGTTTCCATTGTGTCGGTATTTTATACCGTCTATTCTCAGTAGTGGATTGAAAAAACTTCCAATAGACGAAATACCTAATTAATGACGTACTTCTTCCCTCAGTCCTTATTTATAAGTATTTACAAGTTCTTTGGACTTCCATTCTAGTGTCTTTATTCAGTCTTCTGGTGCTCCTTTGGGCTTCCGGTCTACCGTCTTTATTCCATCTTCTTGTGTCTGTGCCTGCAAAATTTATTTCACCTTGATGCATCTAAATGGAAAATTCCCATAATTCCCAACCAGACACCACCACGACGATTCCCAGCTTCCCCCTGCAGAACCTCTTGCCTGGGAACATAATAAACTACTATCGCTACCAAGGCTCCCTCACCACCCCTACCTGCAACCAGGTGGTCTCATGGACAGTCTTCGCCCAACCTATACCAATTTCACTCGCTCAGGTAAGAGCTCCAACAAGCTTTCTTGGCAAGTAAGTAAATTTAGTACACATAAGTATAATTACTCCATGAAGAAGTGAAACAGAATTCTTCCACCGAAAGCCATGCGTGTCGAAAGAGGCGACTAAAATGCCAGGAGCAAGGGGCTAGTAACCCCTTCTCCTGTATACATTACTAAATTAAAAAGAGAAACTTTCATTTTTCTTTTTGAGTCACCCTGCCTCGGTGGGATACGACCGGTTTGTTGAAAGAAATAAGTATAATTATCCTACATGTGTCAGTTCCCCAGGATAACCCATAAAAGTCAGCATCCATGGTCGGTCATCGAGGTCTAAAAAGCAGTTGTAAGGGTCATTAAGGCAGTAAGAAACCTCTCAACCGCCTGACACTAATATTTTAATCTCTATAAACATGGATCGAAGTAACTATCAGCTGGAAAATACACCCAAACACGTATACCCTCTCGGTGTATGTGTAAATCTGTAAAAATTAGGTTAATATGTTTATTATGCACCCCATACCCATCCTGTGGGCGGTAGTCAAAAGATTACAGAGGTACATAATTGGTCCAGGGACTGGACTCCAAAGTTTTGATAGCTGAGCAAGTTACAAAGGTAATGAACTCACCATACCCCCGGCCGGGATTGAACCCGCGGTCATAGAGTCTCAAAACTCCAGCCCGTCGCGTTAGCCACTAGACCAGCTAGCCACAATAAGATTCATCCAACTAGGTATATTTCTACACGATAGGAAGGTTAGCACAGGCACCTCTGTGACCACAAATGCAAGTTTTTACAGACGAATCTCCAGCTAGCGTGGCCGTGACGAACTCTAGCTCAAGTCCCTTCACTGCCGTCAACATGACTTAAGAAATCGTAATGACACGATTGCAAATAAACCATACCCTCGGCCGGGATTGAACCCGCGGTCATAGAGTCTCAAAACTCCAGCCCGTCGCGTTAGCCACTAGACCAGCTAGCCACAATAAGATTCATCCAACTAGGTATATTTCTACACGATAGGAAGGTTAGCACAGGCACCACTGTGACCACAAATGTCACGGCCACGCTAGCTGGAGATTCGTCTGTAAAAACTTGCATTTGTGGTCACAGAGGTGCCTGTGCTAACCTTCCTATCGTGTAGAAATATACCTAGTTGGATGAATCTTATTGTGGCTAGCTGGTCTAGTGGCTAACGCGACGGGCTGGAGTTTTGAGACTCTATGACCGCGGGTTCAATCCCGGCCGGGGGTATGGTTTATTTGCAATCGTGTCATTACGATTTCTTAAGTCGTAATGAACTCACAATTTACAAAGGTAATGAACTCCAGGTAGGTCTGGTCACAATTATGACAAGTTACAAAGGTATTTACAGATTACAGAGGTACGTAATGGGTCCAGGGACTGGGCCCCCAAAGTTTTGATAGCTGAACTAGGTACAAAGGTAATGAGCTCACAAGTTACAAAGGTAATGAATGTAAAAGATCTCAAATAGTTTCGCAAATATATCTTATTTGCATACACCCGAAATCAAAACGTTCATATTCAATTCAGCCTTAATTTTATTTTATTTTTTGTATATGTTTTTGCAGCTCCAGTGCCAACTTAACAGTAAACATAATACTGTACTAAACAAAAGATACTGTAGCCTAGTAAACTATCCTTCTGGAGTTTATTTTAGTTTACCTCCCAACGCTACAGGAGCTAGAGAAAATATTTTAATGAGTAACTTTGTTATTTCAGCTAGCAGCGTTCAGGACCCTACACGACGAGACTGGTCAACTGATAGAGTTCAACTTCCGTCCAGTACAACCTCTTAATGGACGTACGGTAAGATACAGTGATAGATACACACACACACACAGTGAAGAGGCGGGGCCAGGAGCTATGAACCGACCCCTGCAACCGTAAATATAACAATACCGCTTTTAATAAGCACAGAAAGGGTACCATGTACTCTACAGCCTGTTACAACAAGATCACTTATATTTGCTTTATATTATGTTCCTGAACCAGCGCTATGCTAGTACAGCACTGAAGTAACACACTGCACACTATTTAAGTGCTGAATTAAGTCCATTTACATTGTAACAAACTTTATTGCAATTTTCCTCGTGATTTTTCCTTTTCTCTTATCTTCCTTTAGTTTTTCCTGAATCGCCGTTAATTTTTCTCACATACATTGATTATGTGGAGATTATACTTTCTGATTTATAAATATCTTCGTTCTAACTCATTCTAGATTGTTGTTGACGAGAAGGTACTACATTCTCACGCGTTACTACACCTTCAACCTGCCCTACTCCATGTATTGCTGCTGCTGCCACTTCTGTGGTAGTGGCCCTTGTTTGATCAACGATCGAATTATCACACTATCCAAGTGTTGAATTAATTTTATCGATTCAATAACTATTTGACTTTTACTCAATATGTGTCCTGCTGCTCCTCCTGCAGGTATGGACGATGATATTTTCCGTGATTTGGAGCATCTTGCACTAAATAGTCAAAGGGTCTCCTAGGCTAGCGGTCGCTGTCTGTCTCTGCCATATGACAGTAAGATGGCACTGGAAGTCTTAAAACCATTTTAATCACACCTGTCCCATCTAAATAAACCTGGCTATCGCTGACATGGTCACACTCCCGTATCTCATCAGACTTACTATAGAAATTCACCTCGGATACGAGTCCATGTGTATGTAGTAGATACATCTTTTAACTCGATTTTCTGTACCAGGGCCGGATTAAGGCTTGGGCTTTAGGGGCTGCAGCCCAGAGGCCTCTTGCCAGCTGGAGGCCCTCCAGCCCAGGGGCCTCACAGTACCTGTAGCCCAGGGGCCTCACGGTACCTGTAGCCCAGGGGCCTCACGGTACCTGTAGCCCAGGGGCCTACAAAATCTTAATCCAGCTCTGTATGTATCCCATTAACATCCACCTTCAGAAGGGTCCTCTGATAATTCAGTACAGCGAATATATTCTTCCTACACTCTATATATCGTGAATTATCCATACAAGTAAATGGACTGAACTGTGTTGCAGGAATGACGTTTGACTGAGATTCATTGCCACAGTCTGAACCTTGCTTGTATAAGTGATTTCCATCCACTGCTGTATAAACACCAGGGACGCTGAGTCGTGACAGTCACGGTATTGTGAGTCGTGACAGTCACAGTATTGTGAGTCGTGACAGTCACGGTATTGTGAGTTGTCTTCACGTTTCAGGTGTTCATGACAAAAGGTTGACTGGTTGAGGCAGGAGCCTACCACCACCAGCAGCAGCACCACCAGCAGCACCACCAGCACCACCACCAGCAGCACCACCACCACCATTACCACCACCGCCGACTTCACCACTACCACCAACATCATCTCCACCTCTGTTCCTACCACTTTCTTTGCCTCTCACTTCGTCTCACTCTCTATTTCTCTCTCTTTTTATTTCTCTAACTTTTACTGTTGCTTTCTCTTTCTCTGTTTCATTGTGTTCCTCTCATTCTCTCTCTCTCTCTCTCTCTCTCTCTCTCTCTCTCTCTCTCTCTCTCTCTCTCTCTCTCTCTCTCTCTCTCTCTCTCTCTCACTAATACCACTTAATAAAATATAATAATACTTAAAATCGTAAAATAATCTGCAACTTAAACGTTATATATGTAATAAAATATTACGTGTGTTATATTATTTTTGTTTTCAATTATAACTGATGTTTATAATGTCTGTGTTGTTGTTTTGCCTTTATTTTTAATCACGAGTTTTATCTCAAATGTTTTTAAAATAAAAATAAGGGACACTACGAGCGTATCTTTATTCCTGGTGTTGCCAAAAGTAATATATCTGTTTATGTATTAACAATTTCAATAAAATATTTCTAAATATGATAAAACTTGGGGCAGATATTTTATTTCGACTTTTAGCCAGTGGACAATAATATTGTGAGGACGTAACCCCTACACTCAAAATTTTGGTTAATTTCAATATTTTTTGGAACTGGCTGGAAATATTAACCCATAATTAATGGACCCGAAGAAATACATCATTATTAAACTGAACCGCAAATGATAAACCCCTATGGGTGACCCAGCACTGGTCGAAGCTCGATACTCCGTCAAGTAAGCCACACTGCTTGGCTTGCAATTGTAGCTGCAATTTGTGCAATTCGAACAGTCTGTGGATTGTTAAGAGAGAAAATGATGCGACAAACCCACGTAGGCAACGCACTAATGTGCCTAAATAGACAAACTGGTGAGGGCCGGTAGAAATCTGACCTGTACCAAAGATGGCTAACAAAACTAGGTCTTGTGACTACTACCACTACTACTACTAGTACTACTACTAGTACTACTACTACTACTAGTAGTAGTACTACTACTAAGATATGTTGGAATTTTGAACCCTGGGTAGGGAGGGTTAGCCACCTGGGATAACCTGAGAAAGTGTGTTATCGAGGACTGTCTAATTTCCTTTGTGGTCCTTCAATCTTGTTCCCCAGGATGCCACCCACACCAGTCAGCTAACACCCAAGTACCTTCTTAAATGCTAGGTGAACAGTGACAGCAGGTGTAAGGTGACTTAACACCCAGGCACCTACTTACTGCTAGGTGAACAGTGACAGCAGGTGTAAGGTGACTAACACCCAGGCACCTACTTACTGCTAGGTTAACAGGGACAGCAGGTGTAAGGTGACTAACACCCAGGCACCTACTTACTGCTAGGTTAACAGGGACAGCAGGTGTAAGGTGACTAACATCCAGGCACCTACTTACTGCTAGGTTAACAGGGACAGTAGGTGTAAGGTGACTAACACCCAGGCACCTACTTACTGCTAGGTGAACAGTGACAGCAGGTGTAAGGAAACACGCCTAACGTTTCTACCCTTGCCGAGGATTAACCACGGATACTGGTCCGGTGGCCTGGTGGCTAAAGCTCCCGCTTCACACACGGAGGGCCCGGGTTCGATTCCCGGCGGGTGGAAACATTTCGACACGTTTCCTTACACCTGTTGTCCTGTTCACCTAGCAGCAAATAGGTACCTGGGTGTTAGTCGACTGGTGTGGGTCGCATCCTGGGGTACAAGATTAAGGACCCCAATGGAAATAAGTTAGATAGTCCTCGATGACGCACTGACTTTCTTGGGTTATCCTGGGTGGCTAACCCTCCGGGGTTAAAAATCCGAACGAAATCTTATCTTACTCAGTGTATGAAGCAAGTGCGTTGCCAACTAAGCCACGGGACACTGTATTACTACTACTACTTCTGCTTCTTATTCTACTTTTACTATTACTACCATTACTACTAATATTGCATCTAAACGTATATAAATAGGAAGCGAATGTATGTCACTCAACAGACGGAGGATCAAGCCTACACATCTTGCACCGAATGACCCACATGGGTTTAGTGTTTAACATGAATTATTTATCTCTACTACTTCAAATATTCTACATAATTTTTTTTAAATATTATTATTATTAACAGCTTATATACTCATGATCCCTGTCAAAATAATGCTGATGTGAGGAGCCAATGAGAGATCGTCTTAGGTAGTGAGCCAATGACAGGAGGTCTTGCAAGTGGTTTAGGGGCCACAATGTCATCATGGCCACACCGCCTCACAAGGAAATCCAACAAATTCGCGGAAAGAAGAAGAATTTCTTCTTAAAGGAGGCGAGGCGGGTGGTGAGCCAGGTGTCAGGGGTGCCAGGCAAGGACTGGCTGGCCGCCATAGCTAAATATGCCGCCGAGAATGGTAATATGACTTGGGGGAGGGGGGGGGTTATCCTAGGTAACTTACACTATAAATAAGTTTATTCCAGGTATACATTCAAATTCAAATTCAAATTCAAAGTTTATTCTCTATAAAGATTACAATGCTGAGTTTACAGAAATTTGGTTATTGTTTGGTTTACATGTAGTAAAATTGTGATTACAGAGTGTACCACTAGAACACCTAGCATGGCTAGGCATTTCGGGCATACTTAGTTTTATTCTTAATTGTAAAATATTACAAATTATGAGGTAAGTTGGTATTATGGCTAAGTGACTAAATACTAGTTTGTGAGTTTAGCAATGTGAATGCTTTTGTTTTGGCACAGTACATAGTTTCAGTATTGGAGTATCACAGGATTCATTATTTTAAGATTGAGATTAATATTTCTGTTTATGGTGAAATGAGTGAGTGTAAGTGTGAAGTTACATAAATTATCATACATAGCAGCGTATGTGTAGATTACCTACCAGAATAACCCAAAAATGGTCACTTATTACCTTCGGGGTATGATAATATGTATGATAATTGTACTTAGATATCTTCATTATAGAATAATAAGAAAATATAACCTTTATATTATAATAAAAAGGTAAAAGGACCCCAATGGAAATAAGTCACTCTGACTTTTTTGGGTTATCCCAGGTTCTCTACACATGCTGCTGCTGTATAGCCCTTGCGGCTTAGCGCTTCTTTTTGATTATAATAATAATACACATGCTGCTATGTATGATAATTTATGTAACTGTATTTATGTGTACCTGCACCTGAATAAACTTACTTAATTTACACATATGATAATTGTATTTGTGTACCTGTGCCTATGTAAACTTGCTTAATTCTTTGATCTGAAGCTTCGATGGGAACATAAAGCACGAGGGAACTCTGCAGTAGACCTACTGGCCCATGCTAGGCAGGTTTTACATAATTCATATGTAATATTAATGAAAATAACTCATTTTACCTTATTCCTAGTATATCTCCTTTTATTGTAAATAATTTTCACACAATTGAGTTACTTAGCTGTTTTAACTTTAAAGGTTTAAATAATAAGTTTCTACAAGAACCCCAATGGAAATAAGTCACTTTGTCCAACATATTTTGGTTTTCCTAGGTAATTTACACTATGTGTGATAATTGTCCTTATGTGTACATGTACCTAAATAAACTTACCCATCCACACCCACTCTATATTTCAAGCTCCAAGTGAAATACAAGGACCCCAATGGAAATAATTCACTTAGATTTTTTTGGGGTTTCCCAGGTAATTTTACACATATTGCTATGTATGATAATTGTACTTGTGTGTGCTTGTACGTAAATAAACTTACTAATGATGGTACTTGGCAGTTTGTTCCATTCAATAACTCTGTTACCAAGCCAGTACTTCCCTGTATCCTCTTTAAATCTAAGTTTCTCCAACTTTAATTCATTGCTGTGAGTCCTGTCTTGTTTAGATACTTGCAACACGCTATGTATATCCCATCGTTATTCCTGTTTTCCATTCGTACACTTCAATAATATCATCTCTAATTCTAAGCCTGTTTTTGTAGGAAGGGTTTCTAATATATAGAATCCACTTTATTAAGTCAGCACTGTATGGCCCTTCTGCATTTAGCATGTAGTTATGCTTGTAATAATAATAGAGTTGAAGTATAACCTGAGGAAGGACTTCTGTTATTAATACTTCTTTACATGAAGACAAGAATTCTATTAGCATTATTGCAAACACTTATGCAATGTTGTCTTGGCTTTAAATTACTGCTAACCAGAACTTTTAACTGTTTTTGCTTTCAGCTTGATTGAGATCGACATTATTTAAATTATAAGTTCCTTAGTTATTTCCTTTTTTATGGGATTAGTACCTTACACTTGTCTGCATTGAACTGTATTTGCCACTTCTCCGACTACAACATCAGCTTATCCATGTCATCCTTCAGCTTTCTTGTGTCCTCGTTAGAAATTCGATGGCCTATTTTAGTGTCACCAGCAAACTTTTATTACTATTTATTCCCTCATCAGTGTTTTTATGTAGATTGTGAACAAAATGGGTAATAACACTTAGCCCTTGTTGCACACCACATATAACAGGTCCCCATTCCAATTTTCCCCACTAATGCAAACTCTTGCGTATTTGTCAGCTAGGCTTTGGCCCTTGAAATCTACAAATTTGTCATGGAGTGAGTAGATGATGCATCTGTTTTGCATTTTCTTCTTTTAAATCTGGGAAGTAACACCTAGTTTCATGATAGAAGGAAGATAAGTGCTTCTGATAAGCTTCAAGAAGTCAGTATAAGCAACACACAGACTGTATACATATTTTATCACTAAGAATATACAAATATTGATGTACTTTTTCTGTACACATAACACTGAAATACTCTTTTATTAAAAAAGGTAATCTCAGTATTTGGTTATTTTTCTCTCTATAAACTATGGAAAATAAATGAACAATTTAAAAATCTAAGATGACAATAAATACAAATTATGTATAATAACTCTTGCTTACTCCTGAAAAATCCCTTTGTGTTTCCTTGGGCTGTGTGTAACGCAGTTTGGGAATTCCAGTTTACAGGAATGGAGTGATTTATCTTGGATACATTTAACTACTAACTTAATTATGACCATTATTATGTGCTTGGCATTAAGAAATTAATGAAACTAGCAATTATAATTTTCCACATCAGAAAATACTCATTTAAAAACATTTGCAAGAAAGGGCAATGCAAAAACACACTGTACATAACCATCCATGTGACATCCCCATCCATCCTTCAGAGTACAGACACTGTACTTCCCACCTCCAGGACTCAGGTCTGGCTAACCAGTTTCCTTGAATGCAATGTTAATTAAGAAATAATATAACATGTCAGGCCATTAGTTTCCAGGTTTGTAATTTATACTCTGACTGAAAGTGCTGTAGTTGCTAGTTGACATTTGGTTCTAGCTGTTCGTATCTCAAAAGCTTCCATCACAGCTGAAATAAAGGGAGGCACAGAAAAAAAATTGTGGAGGTAGCACCACCTCTGTTCCTCCTTGTAGCTATGGGCCTGGTATTGCATACATATCTTATTTACATTCTAATCGGTATTAGATACCATCTTTTACCTATAGATTAACTAAGTCACTTATGCATGAGTGTCATTACTTTAGAGGACAATGTGGCCTTGAAAAAAAAAGTACTGTACGTATGAAACAACTTGAAAGCATATAGCATTGATAAAATTGTGACTGGGCTTTTATGTGGTGAATGGTTTTGAAAACCAACAAGTTGAAGAATTGAGACACTTGTGCAACACATGGGAATAAAGATTCCCATGTGTTGCACAAGTGTCTCAATTCTTCAACTGTTGACTGTTGACTGTTCAACCGAGCTGTTGCTGAATAAGATACAACTTGGTTTATAGCATTTACTGAGAAGATGATTCGTTCACCAGAGAATATTATGTATTACCACTGATGTACAGGTTGTTGCTGGCCCACTACATAGCTGTTAAACCCTCCTTGATCTGGTACATACTTGGCAGGGGTAGTGGGTATTGAACCATGGATGTTGGGACACTGTTCTCTTACTGTGCCCATGGTGCCCCTGCTCTTCACTGTATCTCTTTGACACTACCAAATTTCTTGCTCGAGTATGTTATGGTAATGTGCCGATCTGGTGCTAGGCCCTCCGGTATTTTCCAGGTATGTATAATCATATACTGTATTTCTTCTTTTTTTTCTGCATCAGATACAGTAAAGAAACAATTAGGGATCACTGCAGTAGGCTTCTGGCCCATACTATGCAGGTTAACTCAAACTCAACTATTCCCACTCATGTATTGCATATGTCAAAGTACTATACAATGGTACCTCGGTATACGTCCTTAATCCATTCCAGGACCTTGGACTTATACTAAACAGGACGTATACCAAATGAATTTTCCCATAAGAAATACATATAGGGAAAATGATTAATCCGTTCCCATGAAAAAAAAAATCCTGTTACTGTTGGCATATTATACATTGATGGGGCTGTATAAAAATAATTTAAACACTGCTTAATACTAAAATACATGCATAAATACAAAATAATTAGATGAAATAAATGCAAATTTAACCTCACTTCACTTTGCTGAAAAGTCGAGTGTCTACTAGGATAGTGCTGAGAAGGGAGGAGGAGGAGGAAATGTTATTGTTTGGACGGAGAGACCCCTTGTCTTTTCTGTCTCTTTTTCCTATTTGGACCTGGTTGAAGCTCGCCAGGTTTGACTTTTACTAAAAATCTGTCCAGAGAACTTTGCTTCTGCCTTCTCCTCAGGATGTTTCGGTGTCATGACTCATTTTGACCCATACAATTTCTAGCACACAAGTCATATTCCAAACAAAGGTCGTATACGAATTAAAAATTTTCCCATCCAAACAGGACGTATGCCAAGTTGGACTTATTCCAAAGCGGACATATACCGAGGTACCACTGTATATATTTCATTGATCATAATGATGGTTATGGCACTGCAGGAAGAATGACTGGCATAAGACTCGCGAAAGGGGGAAAAATTCTAGAAAAAATGCATATGTATCATTTAAATAAATTAATGTTAAAATAGAAGTTTGAGATGCACTGTAATTGTTCATGCTGATACTTCTCTTATATCTTTCAGAGCTGCATTTACAAATTTTTCCCGAGAGAAATATTCTTCATAGAAAAATCATGGAAGAACATGAATCACAGCTTGGGTCATTTTTCAAAGGCTTGGTTGAGAAGTATTTAGAGCTGTACACAAGTGAATTAGGGATGAGTGCAACTTTGTTGTTCAACTTTGTTGGCTATGTCGGAAAAACACTCTGTGGGGAAACCAAGTTGTCAGGTAAGTATTGTATTATCTTGCATTTTTCAGATGATTTATGCAGATTTTTTGCTTGATATTTAACAGTTTTCAGTGGTTGCAATAAACACAGTATTATTGTAGCACTTTAATGAAGATTTGAGCTTTGATAGCCCACCAGTACAAAATAATTTTTTAAACACTTACTGTCTACCACTGTGACCCCACAAAGGAAGCACTTTCACTGTCACCCATTCAATTTCTGTATTGTCAGGAGGGTGCCAACCTCACTGTTCAAGTGATTCCCTAAATTGCAACATCACCACTAAAATTGTCTGCCTTTCACACCCAAGTTTTTTGTTGTGGAGACTGTACTCATTACAGGTGGTCCTCAACTCACAATGGGGTTACGTTCTGACGAACCCATTGTAATTCGAAAATGTCATAAGTCAAACGTGAATGTACAGTGATACCTCTCATATCCGAACTATATTGGCTGAGACTGGTTCGGAAACACACAGTTTCCAGATACGTGAGGGGAAAAAAGTGCCCATCTGTACCGTCATATCGCCATCCATACCCCGTCATATCGCCATAGGTGGCAGCGTTGTAGGTTTAAAATACGAGTCTAGCATCATCTGGTGGTAGGACCAGACACTGGGCTTGAATAACAGCCTCCAGGATTTCAATGACCACAGGACCATAACTTTTCAAATGGGCTGTGGGCAGTGGATGCTCCAAATACAGTGGACCCTCGGCTAATGAATGCATTACATTACGTTAAATCCGCCCAATGAAGTGTCTGAGCGTAAAAGTTTTGGCCTGGCTAACAAAAAACTCGCCCAACGTGATTCGTCCCGAACCTGTCCGTCCAGCCCGAGCACCTCATATGCCCTGCTGTAATTGTTTACAAGCCAGGGTGGCCGGTTTCATGCACACATTCGATACAATTTGTATTATTCCATTGTTTATAGTGGCAACCCTGTAGTACATAGGGTGAGAAATACTATCGTACCATGGTCAGCTGCTGCTGCACCACCATCAGCTGCTGCTGTACCATGGTCAGCTGCTGCTGTACCATGGTCAGCTGCTGCTGTACCACAGTCAGCTGTTGCTGTACCATGATCAGCTGCTGCTGTACCACAGTCAGCTGCTGCTGTACCTCGGTCAGCAGCTGCTTTACCATGGTCAGCTGCTGCTGCTGTACCATGGTCAGCTGCTGCTGCACTACTGTCAGCTGTTGCTGCACAACTGTCAGCTGTACTACTTGAAGATGTGGAGAGACTGTTGTTGGTGTGACTTAATGGGAAACAATTACCGAGAAACAATTAACCCCAGAGGGTTAGCCACCCAGGATAACCCAAGAAAGTCAGTGAGTCATCGAGGACTGTCTAACTTATTTCCATTGGGGTCCTTAATCTTGTCCCCCAGGATGCAACCCACACCAGTCGACTAGCACCCAGGTGAACAGGAAAAAATGCCTGGAACTAGTGCTCATATTGGTGAATTTAAAGCCAGCAAAGGTTGGTTTGAGAGATTTAAGAATTGTAGTGGCATACACAGTGTGATAAGACATGGTGAAGCTGAAAAATTCCAACCCCAACAAGTGTTTAATTGTAAAGAAACAGGCCTGTTCTGGAAGAAAATGCCAAACAGGACCTACATTATTAGGAGGAAAAGGCACTCCCAGGACACAAGCCAATGAGAGACAGGCTAACTCTCATGTTGTAATGCTAGTGGGGATTGCAAAGTGAAGCCATCACTCGTGTATCACTCTGAAAACCCCAGAGTGTTCAAGAAAAACAGTGTCTCATCACTCATCAGTACTCTTCAATAAATGTAAGTGTCATTTTAGCATTTATTTATATAATTATTGTGCATGTCTCTTTCTTTTCTTTGTAGGGAAATGTATATTTCATGAAAAAAAAAAAGATTTCTTTTAATACTTTTGGCTGTCTGGAACGGATTAATTGGATTTCCATTATATCATATGGGGAAAATTAATTTGGCTAACAATAATTTTGGCTAACGATGAGCTCTAAGGAACAGATTAATATCATTAGCTGAGTGTCCACTGTACTCCAAAAGTGTTTCGACACCTGCCCTTACTGCTGAAGTTTTGGTCTTGGAGGAATTGGGTTGTTGTAATTACTTTTGGAATGTTTTGGGTGCAACACTGATTCTGCAATCTCTGCATCCATCAGAGATTGCACACCAGGGTTGTCTTCATCACACTAGCCAGTTCTGCAATTCGGTGTCAAAAACCATCATACCACTACCACGTCATTGTAGGTACCACTTCAATATGCACTTATTGAGTTCCAAGCTCTGTGGCTCTGCCATCACTTTTCTTTTGGCACTTTGTGTGTACCGGTTGGCCACTAGGAGCACCGCTCCTAGTGGCCAACCAGTTGGAGAGCTGGTTGTAAATCCAAGTGGTCGGTAAATGAGTATATCACTGAGTGAGGAGAGGCTGTATTACACTGATGGTATGTAATAACAAGAAGTTGATAGGTAATCACATGCAATACCTTGATATTTCCATTGATGAAACATTTAGATGGCATCAGGTTTGCTCAGTAAAATACAGTGGTGACTTTTATGCTAGAGACAGTCTAAGGAATAGAGAGGTAATTTTGAGATGTTGAGTCCCTCAGTGCTGATAGGTGTTTGCTTCTTTGGCTTTGATCAGTCTGAAGCAGAGACACGACGATGTTGACATCTTGGAGTTGAAATTTTATCATTTAGATAACCTATTCCTTCTTCATGAAGGACACACCTCTCTCCCATAGTGACCTTTTTGCAGGTGCTCTTGTGCACTCTGTAGCTTGTGGTATGTTGCTGACTGTGCAACACAGTTTGGCCAGGGCATAGGCCTTTCCACCTTTGTAATTTTTATAATCACCAGGGTGCCTGTAGGGATCTCTGGGAACTTTTAGGGGAGTATTTTGACATTAATTTAATGTTTTTTTCAAGAGATGTTGGTTATTTAAACTTGGTATGATATTTATTTCTTTAGCATTATATTATGTTCATGGCCTTTGTTTAATTTTAATTTTTGCTTTTAGTGTGTTTTATATCTTTTGTTTTTGGTTCGAGCACTGGGTAACATACATGGTCAAAATTCTCTGTCAGTATCACTAATATTATTATTTCTGTTTGTTGTTGGGTACAATTTTTTGAAATAGTACAGCGTATTGATATTTAGTTATCCAACTAACATGGGTTTAATTTTAGGCTGCATAAATTTAAATTGTCAATTCTCAAGCTTCTTGCTATATAAATTAGGTCTAGGATTGTATGCTGCATTTATTGCATATTGTAGGCTTATGTATTTTTGTAAATTTTGCATTTTTGCCAGAACTGGCAACAACGAAACGATGTCATCCGATAAGGTGGAACCCGAAAAGAAATGTAAAAAATTAAACAGGCCTGTACCCATACAGTATTTTATAACAGATGTAATAGTGCAATATTTTTATATAGTTTTTCTAATTTTCAGATATATGGCTGCCAATGATTGCTGGAGAAGATAAGGAAGCAGCTAGGCACGTTGGAAATATGTATGGTTTAGCCCTCATGTACCAGGTGGAAAAGCTTATTGAGAAAGAAAAGCAGTCAGTGGCTGGGAAGGATGAGGCATTTTGTCAGACTGTTAGACTTGATGACTACACAAGCGTGTCATTAACACCAAGGAACACAGTCACTTCAGCTAGAGAAAGGAAGCACCATGGGCTGAAACTGCAGCCATCTTTGGCTACAGAAGTTGATAAAGCTGATCCATTACCTGCAATCACTTCATCTCTCAGTGGTAAATCACGAAGAACCTGCAAGAGGCGCTGCGTCTCTGAAAAACATAGAAACTTTTCCATCGACACGCCCATTGTTTCCCTCGAGTGTGTCACTTCTGCAGAATCGGTCATTCTGACTCCATCTGATGCTTCATCAGATTCCCTCACTAATATTTCACCTAGAGTTTCTCTCTCTGTTTGTACCTCACTAGCTGTTTCATCTACTAATTCTGCTTCACCAGTTAATCCTGCAGTATCCATCTCTACTAGTATAGGACAATTTACCTCTGATCCAGCAGATTCACTCGCAACACCTTGTAATACTTCCACAGTGTCTAGTACATCCTCAGAACACCATTCTTCACCCTGTATCTCCACAACACCTGCACCAAAATGCACAAATTTGGTATCCACATCTGTCACACGCATTAAGACTCGATCGGCCACAAAACGAATTTCAAGCACAGTACAGAGAGCCTCCAGGAGACTCGGCCCTTCAGTTGATCGCACACCCTCCAGGCTCCCCACCTCTAGAACAGCAACTCTGCCAAAAGATGCCACACGTGGGAAATGCAGCACATCCACAAAGAGAATTCGACCCAAAAATGCGTTGCCTGTAAAACGCAAGACTTTTGTGCCAAGTAACAAGCCTGTTAAAGGCACCTCATCTGCTCAACGTAAGACTTCCATCAAGCGCAAATCCTTGACAACAGCTGATAATTCAACTAGATCAGGGAGGATTCCAAAAAAGAAAACGGTGCTCGATTTATAAGCCTGAGCTAAGGCACCTAAGAGTTTAACCGTGTTTATTTTTATAGAAATTGTGTAAATTTTTTTTTTAGTTCAGAACTTTTTAAAGTTATGTTTATTTTGACTGAATACCTGCATGATGTTTCTCATAAGAATGTAAGAGGTTGGCTAAATTGATTTTATTAAATAGTTTGAAAGACATGAATGTGACCACAGTATTTTGTTCCTTCGATATATTTTCCCTGTGTGTGTAGTATAATACTTACGAGTTTAGCACTTTCTTATGAATGCAATAATCCAGCCTTTGTGGGCGAATTAATTCATTATACATCAAAGTGGGATAATGCTAAATTGCACAACTCTACCAGCCATCTTCCAGAAACATGAAGCCTTAACACGATGATGACACTGTGATGAGCAAGGTGATCATTGCAGAGGGTACAACTTTCACCACAGATCAGCTTTACGAAGTACATAAAGCGCTACAAAATCACAACTCATCAACTATGTCTGGAAAGTGAGATGCTGAATGTATAAAGGGCCAAAGCATCAGATTATGAAGGGAGCAACACTTCAGGAGACCTACTAGCCCATGCTAGGTTTGTTCCTGTCTTCTGATACAGTGTGGGCTCTGGTTGTGGATAATGTGAACTTTCTACTATTTTTTGTTCAGTTATGTTGGTTAGTATAATGAATGACTATTCAAGGCATCTGCATTTTATCTTGTCATTTCTATAAAATTGATGTGTTGTGTTCCACACCATGGGATGAAAGTGGTTATCATGTTGTTCACATTTTTGACCCAGCAGGTATTTTTATTCCTGCAATACCTGTAGAGTTGACAAATTAAAACAACACCTGCGTCCAGCACTGTGACATTAGGGGTGAAATGCTACCAAAATTTTTTGCTGATACCAATGCTCAGTTTTAGGCTGATATTGATACCATTAAAATCAGCTGATACTGGTGCTTTTGCACATACATTTGACCCCCATTCTTATCTCAGTGTGGAACACAACACTTCAATTTCATGAAAATGACAAGATAAAAAGCAGAAGCATTTATTTATTAAATTCAATAACACCATTGAACAAAAACAGCAAAATGTTCAGTTTATCTACACTCATAGCATGGGCCAGATCTGCTGCAGTGGCTCTCTGCTCGTCACCTGATGCCTCATACCTTATACTTTCATCACCTGATGCCTGACTTCTCGGATGTACTGTACAGGAGGGCCCTGCATATACAACATTTCTTTTCGGTGTTCCACATTTTCGTTGGTTTTCAGTTAAGCTACTGTTCCATCCACTGGTGATTTTTGCCAGCGGATGGAACATAATGAACAATGATTCAATTCGCAGCCAACAAAAATGCGGAACACCTAAAAGAAGGTGGTGTAGATACCAGGCCCTCGTGTATAAGATGCAATTTTCTGTTTTATGTGTACTTGATAGCCACTGTGGTGAAATAAAATTTCTGCAGTCAGTCTTAGTTTCCACTGTTATTTAAATGTTAGAAACTTAATATACCTATTCTAGATTTTACAGTAATACACCCTTATTGAAATGTGCCTTGATGCCAGTGAAGGGTTGTTGATCCAAGGAAGGAGTTAGCTTCCTCTTGAGTGAATTTGACTCCCTCCTGTTGCCCATGCTCTGTAGTATTCATACTGGTTTAGTGCTCTTATCTCCCTCTCTCCCTCAGTAATAATCACTACTGTATTGTGTAACATCTAATTTCATTTTAATCAGGAAGTTTTAACTTTCTAGTGATTATATAGCACCTGGAAGGCACTGAGGTTCGATCCAAGGAAGGGGAGAGTAAGTTCAGTTCCTTGGATCAAGAGTCCCTCACAGGGTTTTATGTGGCAATTGTTGCTGCTCTAGAACCTTTCAAGGAGGTTCATGGCCTGATCATGACCCAGTCATGGCTTGGTCATGGCGTAGTCATGGCCCAATCATGGTGCAGGCCATGGGGGTCAACCACCCAGGTATGGTGGTGAAATGATTAAAAAAAGTGGAGCTAAACTCCCCTTCTTTGGATCAAACTTGACTGCTTTATATTTCCCAGGCACTATGACTCCAGTGGGTTTAGGGCTTCTGCATAAATAATAATAATCCTGATTTTGATAGAAATGCTTATTTTAAAGTGTATGAACTTTCAAGGGCAATGTCCACTGATACTGTTGAAGGGTTTTTGATTCAAGGAATGAGAGCTGCTCTCTCCTTGGATCAAACCTGATTATAGGGGAAAGTAATGGAACATTTTGAAATGCACAACAACATAAAGGGAAAAGAAAGTCCAAGTACTGTATCTGGACTTGTAAATCCCCCTCTTTCTTAGGTCAAAAATTGAGCACCTTTAACCCAGGGGCCATGTGACCCCTATGTGTTTGGCTCTCTCCTCATTAATTCCCCTCAAGGAAGGTTCCTTGATGTTGGTGAGGGGCTCTTGATTTAGGGAATTGGATCTGTGCTCCAGTTCCCCAAATTAAGCCTGAATGCCTTCCACATACCCCCCCCCCCCCAGGCGCTGTATAATCCTCCGGGTTTAGCGCTTCCCCCTTGATTGTAATAATAATAATCCTCATTAATTACTAGTATTTTAATTAGTTATTGCCATTGTAGTCTTAAGTTAGGCTTACACTTACCCAAAATGCTCTGCATAACTATGGGCTTTCTGCACACACAAGTAAATGTCACACAAGTCTGCATCAACTTCTGGTGGGTGATAATTTTCTAACTTTGCTACTCTATGGATCTTAATTACTGCCGTTTTCCAATTCTCTTATTTAAAGTCTTCCAAAATGCCTAATTTTTGATGCCACAACAAGCTTCCTATGATAGCACAGTCTTCCTGCAGATTTGAATTTTTGGATGACACTTCCTTGTAGTTGAAGTGTTAGCATTTTCACCTCTTCTAAAGTCTTTCAGCTTGAAAGACACTTTTTAAGGTCCCCAAGTTCTTCATATTAACATCAAGTACCCATCTTGAGGGTTCCAGAACCTTCATGTCAAATTGAAGACATTTGAAGTTCCTAAGTCCTTCATATTAGCATCAAGGCATCCCTTGACTAGCATCCTCTGAGCTGTTGACAAGAAACATAGTTGTGGAAAGCAATATTAGGGCTTAAATACTAAGTTATTAACTGGGGGAAGGATGGAAGGTGCTCACGCTTTATTCAAGGAATTTGAGCACAGGTTAAATTCCTTAAATCAATCTTCTTAGATGTACAATACTAGTAGTAATAGTAATAGAATTAGTAATAATAGTAGTACTAGTTGTAGTATTAGTACAAGTAACAGTTGTAGTAGTATAGTAGTAACAGTAGCAGTTGTAGCATTAGTAAAAGATGTAAGTATTTAGCAAAGTAAATGTTTAGTAGTATTAGTATGTACATAGTCATTAGCATAGTAATAGAAGTTAAGTAATTGTAGCAGAAGTAACAGTATAGAAAATAAGCATAGTGAGTAGTTAGTAGTAGTACAGTATCGTAGTAATTGAGCAGTAGTTGTTAAGTTAAGCATGTTGAATGAGCATAGTTAGTAGTAAGTAATAGTAAGTGTAGAGCAGTAGTAGTAGTGAGCAGTAGTAGTAGTTGTAGTCGAATAGCATATAGCAGTATATAGTAGTACAGTAGTAGTGTAGTAGTAGTATAGTAAGTAGTAGTGTAGTAGATAGTAGTAGTGAGAGTGAAGTAGTTAGTAGTAGTGGAGCAGTAAGTATGTAGTATGAGCAGTAGTAGTAGTTGGATGCAGTAGTAGTAGATGAGCAGTAGTGTGAGCAGTAGTTGAGTAGTGGAGTAGTAGTAGTTGAGCAGTAGTAGTAGTGGAGCAGTAGTAGTATAGTGGAGCAGCAGCAGTAGTAGTAGTGAGCAGTAGTAGTAGTAGTGGAGCAGTAGTAGTAGTGAGCAGTTAGTAGTGAGCAGTAGTAGTAGTAGTAGTGGAGCAGTAGTAGTAGTAGTGGAGCAGTAGTAAGTAGTGTGAGCAGTAGTAGTGGTGGAGCAGAGTAGTAGTAGTAGAGAGTGCAGTAGTAGTAGTGAGCTATAGTAGTAGTGGAGCAGTATAGTAGTAGTAGTGGAGCAGTAGTTAGTAGTGGAGCAAGTAGTAGTAGTAGTGGAGCAGTAGTAGTAGTGAGCAGTAGTAGTAGTGAGCATAGTGGAGTCAGTAGTAGTAGGTGGAGCAGTAGTAGTATGTTTAGTGGAGCAGTAGTAGTAGTAGTGGAGCAGTAGTAGTGGAGCAGTAGTAGTAGTAGTAGTAGTAGTGGAGCAGTAGTAGTAGTGGAGAGCAGTAGTAGTAGTGGAGCAGTAGTAGTAGTGGAGCAGTAGTAGTAGTGGAACAGTAGTAGTAGTAGTAGTAGTGGAGCAGTAGTAGTAGCGGAGCAGTAGTAGTAGTAGTAGTAGTGGAGCAGTAGTAGTAGTAGTAGTGGAGCAGTAGTAGTAGTAGTGCAGCAGTAGTAGTGGAGCAGTAGCAGTAGTGGAGCAGTAGTAGTGGAGCAGTAGTAGTAGTAGAAGTCCAGAGGTCATACTGCAGCTTTATACATCATTAGTAAGGCCTCACCTAGATTATGCAGCTCAGTTCTGGTCTCCATATTACAGAATGGACATAAATTCGTTAGAAAACATTCAGCGTAGGATGACTAAATTAATACATAGCATTAGAAATCTTCCTTATGAAGAAAGATTGAAGACTCTTAAGTTACATTCACTTGTTAGACGAAGAATGAGGGGAGACCTGATCGAAGTGTATAAGTGGAAGATAGGTATTAATAAAGGGGATATTAATAAGGTCTTGAGGATGTCTCTCCAAGAGAGAACCCGCAGTAATGGATTTAAATTAGATAAGTTTAGATTTAGAAAGGACATAGGAAAGTATTGGTTTGGAAATAGGGTAGTTGATAAGTGGAACAGTCTACCTAGTTGGGTTATTGAGGCTGGGACTTTGGGTAGTTTCAAATCTAGGTTGGATAAGTACATGAGTGGGAGGGGTTGGATTTGAGTGGGACTTTCACATCAGAGCTTATTTCTTGGGTGGCATTGAAAATTGCGTTGGGCAAATGTTTTGTTAGTGGGATGAATTGTAAAGGACCTGCCTAGTATGGGCCAACAGGCCTCCTGCAGTGTTCCTCCTTTCTTATGTTCTTATGTAGTGGAGCAGAAGTAATAGTAGTGGAGCAGTAGTAGTAGTAGTAGTGGAGCAGTAGTAGTAGTA